CGGGGGGGCGGCCGTTTGCGGGGTGACGCTTTAGAGGTCTCCTCAGAAGGCGCTTCTGGCGAGTTCCGCGGGGCTCTTTGATACCAGGGCAGCCTCGAACTAGCTTTTAGTGCATACATATAACCCTTAGCAGAGAAAAGCACAGGCCTCAGAGAAACGGGGCCCCGGAATATTCACCCGTCGCTCGGGCCAAGCGAGGAGCATTCACACATCGTGTGGGACGGACGTCGTTGGAACACTTTCGTTTGGCCCTTCCTCCTCCTCCTCCTCCTCTTCCTCTTGACCTGGCAGACGGCCTGGTCCTGGAAGGCAGGAGGAAACTAGCCAGGGCAGGCCCCAAAACATTCACCCCTGGGAGCCGGAAAGGGGAGGCCATCCGTCAGGGCCCAGGAAGGCTACCCAGGAACGTCCCAATAGGCACTCCTTGTCCCCAGATGTTCAGGCGCCTCTTGGGCAGAGGCCAAGGACACAGGGGCACACAATCTGTGCATAGCTGCTACAGGGAACCCCCATAGATCAGCGTAGTTGGCATCACTACCCAATGAGGGGCTGGATCCAAACTTGGGGTACAAACGACCAATAGGATTGTAGTGCTTTTATGACTCTTTGTATCATTATAAAACATGTGTACTGTACACTATTTTCGGGGTCTTCTCTGCTTTTAAGAGAAGTCCCAGCTGACCTTTTCTTTGCTGCTATTCAAATGAAAATTGGGCCTTTGGTTCAGCTGTTGCATCTATGCCAGATTCCTTGCCAGAGAATCAGAACCCAGGTTTGGCTGGGAACAGCTCCTTCCCCAACGAGGGGATACAGAAGGGCTGCATTGATGGTCGGGATGGGGCTCAAGAGAGGGCCGGGACGGTGTAGGTAGCAACTACAGTGAGGGGCTGGGACTCTGGCAGCCTGGCTTTGAATCCCTGCTTTGCCATGGAAATTCCCCCCAAAGCAAAAAAAAGAAACAAACAAAAAAACCTCCAACCGGTTGCCAGAACCTGAATGCAACTTGGCGGCACATAACATTGTGTTCAACCAGTGTCACGCTATTTAGGCAAGGGACTCTGGTGGGGGGGGGACGCAGAGTGATCCATGGTGAAGTTAGGTTTCCCCAGTTGAACTCACTTTAGTAGATCCCAGGAGTTAGCAAAGAGCTGAGGAAATTGCCAATCTGAACTTGTTAGCACTTTGTTAAGGTAGTTGTACTACAGCCACCTTAATTACTCTGTCATGACTATCTTGCGACTTCAAGTTTCTATTCTTAAGCTTGAGGAAGTGAATCTTGTTCATGAAAGCTTGCATTTAATATTTGATTTTTAGTGGTCTATTTAGGTATCACCTCTCCTACCTTTGGATTTCTACTGCAGCCCAGATTTCCATGAGGCAGAGCTACTGTAGAGCTACCTTAACAAGGTGCAAACGAGGGCTGCCTGCTGATTTCCTCCTTGCTCACTTTTGTTCATTTAATCTCCAGCTGTTCTAGTGCGCCAGCTCTGGCTCCAAGCTTTTTTGGGGGCAGGGAGAATGAACAATTTGGAGACAACAGAAGCATTAAATAAAAGATCACCTCAAAAAGGACTCAAAAAATGGGAATGGTTTTATAACTGGATCCAAAACATGGACTGGAAAGTACACCTAAAATAAGTTTGAGAAGGTCCAAAGAGACAACCCACTTAGACAGGAAGAGCTTTGTGGATCATCTAGTCCAGGGGCGGTGGCCCTACTGCTCTCCAGAGGGGGCTTCTGGAATCCTCCAGCAACAGGGGTTTTCTCTTAAAAATCATATGTAGTCCAGAGGAAGGAAGCAGAAAGGCCTTTGAAAGAGGAAAGAAACAGGGCTGGATGTGGCCCCTGGGAAGCAGCAAGGGTGGGAACTGCCCACAGGTTCTCCAAGGCTTCCCAACAGCTTCAGTTGGGACTGTGCAAAGCAAGCGCGGGGGAAACAGAAAACCCTCTTGGGGCAGGAACACCACGCAGCTCAGGTTTGGTTTAAGAGAGTTTATTCATTTCAACAGCGCCAAGAAGTCAAACACACAGGAAGATCCCTTCCTCTTAAGTTCCTGTGGTCCCACCCCCACCCCACCCCAAAAGCAGGAAACGCTTCTCTCTTTCAAGCAGAAAGGAGAAGCAGTTGGCCGCTCTGGCTTTTGACCAGAAGGGCCTGAGCTGCAGGGTGGGGCGTGTAGTGTTTGTGAACAGAATGAGGCCAAGAGGAGCAGGCTGTAGCCTCAGCTGACAGCAGAGACCCCAGCCCAGAGATCAAATCCCTTCACACTGCAGCTGGTGAGCAACCCCAAGGGCTTGGAGTGCTTGCCATGGGGGAGGGGGGAATTAAACACCCCACTGTTGCTGACAAATGTGGAAGGAAATCTGGCTGCCCCCTAGTCCCTCAACCTAGCAGCAGGATGGTGTCCCTTGATTAGGCCATAGGCTGGACTCCTTCTGTGGGTCCCACAACCTGTCCCAAAGGTGGCGTGGGGGAGGAAAGCTGAGGGTGTTGCCATGCATGTCCTTGTCCAAAGCAGAAAACACAGTCCTCACAACTGAAGGGAGGGCCGGCTTGAGAGCTGGGAGCACCTAGCGGTTGGCCCCTCCCTGCCACACCCCCACACACCTCCAGACCAAGGAGGCGGTGGGTTCGAGGAGGATGGAGCAGCCATCATGTCTGGAGGCCCCTTCTGGCTGTGTCGGGCGTCAGGTAGCAGGCAGAGCTTCAGGGAATCAGCCGCACAAGGAGGGTCACAGCAGCCCTCAGACAGTGACAGAAAGGGCAGCACCTAGCGGTTGGCCCCTCCCTGCCACACCCCCACACACCTCCAGACCAAGGAGGCGGTGGGTTCGAGGAGGATGGAGCAGCCATCATGTCTGGAGGCCCCTTCTGGCTGTGTCGGGCGTCAGGTAGCAGGCAGAGCTTCAGGGAATCAGCCGCACAAGGAGGGTCACAGCAGCCCTCAGACAGTGACAGAAAGGGCAGAGGAGGGAGGGCAGGGGGGACGGGGCGGAGGGAGGGAGGGAGGGCTCTCTTAGGAGACGAGGCGGGTGTGCAGTTGGTGGAGCTGCTCCGGGGTAAGGACCAGTCTGTGCACCTGGCCGTAGCCCGGCTGGCAGGGGAAGGTCACTTTGCCGATGTAGACAGTGTCGTCCTTATGCTCTTCTTTGGCCTGGAGAGGAGAGGAGAACCATCCAGATGGTCAGCGGGAACAGCCAGGTGGGTGGGCAGACAGAGGCCTCCTCCTGGAGAGACCCTCCCTCCCCCCTCCCTCCTCAGGCCAGGCACAGGCAGCTCAACCCCCTCACCTTCAGGAAGGGCACTGAGGGGAAAGTGCCGAAGTCTGTGGGAACGCTGGCCCCTGGGTGCTGGAGAACTGTCTCCTTCATGACTTCATCCTATGGGAGAGGAAGGGAAGCACTCACCCCATCTGCGCAGGTCCAGTGAGTCTTGCTCTCTCCCCCCCCCACCCCCCCGGC